GAAAATCTTCAATTCTCAGCTATAACGAGAATTGATAGTAGATATACGCAGTGCAAAGCACTGCGTGAAGTGAAGATGAGAGTGCACGAGTTTTGGCAAGATCGGCTCGTGCAAGGCTTCACAGAAAAAAGAAGCACGGAAGGTGGGGAAGGTAAGCGGAACGGCGGAAACGGAACTTGAGAGAACGGAAAAACAGCGCGCGCGTACCTGAGCGGTGACCGGAGAGAAATGATCAAAGAAAACCCGCTTCCCGCTCAAACTCGTGAAGCTGCGCGATCGGAATGTCTTCTTGGAGGCCCAGATTGCGCGAGACCGACAGCCTGGCTTGCAGCTTCTCGCGCACGTACAAGTCTTTGGCTTGGTCAGAACGCCAACGGCCATGGCGTTTGAACAAGCGATCGGGGACATCTCGAGCAGCAGCGCCCGTGGCACCGCCACGCCGGCCAGAATGAGTTCCATACTTCTCAGGATCAAGACCGAGGACTACTGCGGCTTGCTTGAACCAAGACAGGACTGTGTTGTAGCAGGGAGCGGTTGATTTGAGGCGCTCAGAGGGCGGGCAGACGATAGTTGAACGAATGAGTGGACCAGCCCCGTAAGCGCTATACTGACCTGCCTGAAGTAACCGCTCGAGCAGGCGAACCGGGCAAAACTTACCCCCAAGGCGCGCAAGGAAAACCGTATCCCCCCGACGGTACTGATCAGTCTTACTATCCGGAACGACAAGCTCAACGTGCGACTGACCGACGAATTTCAGATCCTGCCACCTGAGAGCTACCAAATCGTCGTACCGAAAGAACGAAGTGTAGCAGAGAGTGACGGCAGTAAGGCGCATCAGGCTGTGGAGCGTCGCAGATTCGCCCCCCCAGATCTCGAACAGACGACGGATGTGGGAGGCTAAGAAGGGCTGCTTCTGATTTTGACCCGCTAGTCTAATGCGACGAGCGGACTCTCGAGCCATTCGGACTAAAGGGTGATTTGTAGGAGATTGAAGCCCCGCAACTGAATGGTTGAAGTAGACGGCGCCCGAGAATGTAAGCAGAGGGGACGGTGTATTAGCGGTGCGCAAAAGGTGCATCATGTACAGAGCTACGGTTAGAGGTTTTGCGGGAAGCGCTGAAACACCCTTGGACTGACACCACTCTCTGAAGCGTCTCCAAGGGCCTGCATACTGCCGAAAGGTTCCAGGGGCGCGGCACACCAAAGACGCGTTGCGCAGATCGACTGAAAGGCTGTTGAGTTCGGAGTCGGAAGTCGAAAAACCGGCTGCTTGAAGATCCCAGTCGGGGAAGTTGAACCAATCTGTAAGATCAACAAAAGAAAGGGAAATAAGTAAACAAGTTAGAGAAAGGGCGAAAAGGAGAACGCGCGTACCTCGATGCTGAAGTCGCAGTCTAACACAAACACGTCAGAAATAGGGACGCCTTTGCCGAAGAACCGATCACGTGACGCGCGCCCCGGGACGAGCACCTCCCGACCCTTGGGAAAGTAGAGCTGGCCACGCACGAACGGAGCGAAGCCGCGACCCGAAGCGACGCTCCCAGAAAGCAAAGGCCACCAGGGTGCAGAACGCCAGCCCAGAACTACGAGCGCCATACGCGCTCGACACGCACGCGCGTGCCGAATCGTCGGAGCAACGAGAGAGGGCGGGGGAAAGCAGTAATTCCTCTCAGGGGGACTCCAGTCTTGGGTAAACGTGTTGGCTGCAGCAGCTCCCGGGCACCAGTAGAAGGCGTCAAAGCGAGGGAGTTTTGCGTTGTGTTCACTCGCGAATCGGTCCACCGTGAAAGGACCGAACTGCTGAACCACAAAGGCAAAGGTAGCTGGAGACAGCCCAAAGTCGTCGAAATCGCGGACTTTGCTCAGGTAGTCCGCGCGCGCGTTTTCCTCCCGGGGGAGCCACTCGGGGCGAAGTTCGATTCGGGCAGAAGCGCAGAAAGAGAACAGTTCCAAGCAGATTGACTGAAGATGCTCTTTCGCAGAACCGCCCTTGGAGAGCATGGTGAAGACGTTTAAAGCATCCCCGCGAGCGATGACCGTACAATCACTCAAGAGCGGTTTAAACGCCTGGAGGAGACGGAGGAGGCCAGTCAACTCCCGCCACGTGGACGACGTAGAACCGTGCTGCTCGTGAGGTTTCCACGCGCCATGAGCCTCGTGCTCCGCTGACCCGATGCGCAAATGACCGCCCCAGCCATGCCCCCCGGCATCGTAATAAAGGACGCGGATCAGAGAATGACGACGCCAGATATCGCGGTTTGCAAAAAGAGAAAGCTGCGTGCTCCAGAAGCGAAGCTCGTTAACTGCGGGGCTGTTGAGGGAAACCTTGCTGTACCAAGACGAGCGGGTTGCTAAAGCGCGATGTAAGAAGCGAGAGAAGAGACCAGAAATGGGACCAGTGACCAGAGAGAGAGAAGTAATTAAGCCGGTGACGCGAGCGACTGTCTTAGCTGGAACGGAATGAGGAGAGCGAAGGCACTGCTGGATGGCGGAGGAAAGCTTGGACTTCTGGAGTGCGGTAAGGCGAAATTGACCGAACAGCGTGTCAACGACGAAACCGAGGAACTTGACTACGTAGCTGCATTTGAGCTGGCACTTATCCACAGAAACAACTAAGCCTGCAGCGGCTAAGTCAGCGAGAACGCTTGCCTGAACCCGAGCAAACTCCGCGGAGCCCCGACACGCAAAGAAGAAATCGTCGATGTAGTGCACCAGGCGGTAGCCACGTTCGCGCCAGGACATGGTCAGCTGTCGCATGACCATTGTAAAAACGTAGCACGCTGGGGCTAAACCAAACGGAAGTTGAGTGAAGACGAAATATTGACCCTGCCACTGGAAGCCTAAATATTTCCAATGTGGTTCGAAGATATCGATATGATGGTAGCCAGCCTTGAGATCAATCGTAAAAAGGAAATCGTGTGGTTGGCAGAGTTCGGGAATCATCTTGAGAGATTCGTAGCGGAACTTGGGGACTTGGAGAAACTGGTTGAGAAAACGAAGATCGAGAATAAGTCGAAGTTTGTTCTCCGCTTTCGGCACGACCCCCAGAGGACTGACAAGAAAGGGAGGGTCAGAAACCGGTAGAATCGTGCCCGTAGCCCGAAGGGTCTTGATCGCGTCGCTGACGAAATCGGCGTGTTCGAACGCTGAAGGGTGGTTGGGCTGGCGATGGGGTTCTGAAGGAGGGGCAGAGATCCAGGGGAGCATATAGCCCGTGAGAAGAATCCCCATGACAAAGCTCGATTTGACAAAGGACTCCCAGAACTGAACTCGCTGACGTAACCGGTGACGCAGCCACGGTTCTTTCTTCGGAGGAGTTGAGTCAGAGGCAGAGCTCCGAGAGCCTGAGTCCTTGAACCCCTCAAACTCAGCAGCGTCGGTCAAGTCGGCGAGTTTGTGAAGAGATTCGTCAGTTGCTGCGAGAAGAAAAAATACAAGCAAACTGATAAGTGAACAGAAAACATAAACATAAACGAACTTCTGGGGGCTCAGGAACCGCTATGGTTACAACTGGGACCAGCCGGTCCCAGGAATCGATCCTCGCCGGGAAGGACAAAGGACTGAACGAATAACGATGTGGCTCAGTGACCATTACGATTCAACTGGGATCCCGTCTGAATGAAGATCCCCAAGAGATGGTCCTCATCGCCGACTGAAAAAGACGCCAAAACCTCGAACATAGGTAAGTTGGAGGAAAGATATACAAGACGGAGCTGAGAACTGCAGGGAAAAGGGATAATAAAAGAGAAGAGACTTTTCAAGAAAACCTAGATAACGTTTGCAGGATCAGAGAGAGGATCAGGATCCAAGAAAGCAGGGCAAAGCGAGAGAGCAATGGACAGATTGCAAGCAGATAGGTTACTGAATTACAGCGAGCAGCTGGGTGAGAGCAGGGATTTTAGTCGACCAACAGAAGTGAGTCCTACCAGGAGGGGAAAAACCTGGAAAATTTAGAAGAGAATAAGGTTAGAGGAGGGGAGAAGCGATTAAGATCAGCGAGCTAAGCAAACGCTATAGGAACAACTGGGATGAGGAACAAATTGAACTGAGAAGGGGGAAAGAAGAACACTCGTGAGGGCAAAAGAAATCAGGGGGAGAATTTGCTCTGAATGAAGTATTATGAATTAGGAGGCTAGCGGTAAAGGCACCTGCACGAATGGAAGATCAAAAGAGGAACAAGTAAAAAAGAAACAGAAACAGAGGACAGAACATTAACATCAACATTAACATTAACAAGAACAGTAACATAAATGTAAACAGTAACATAAACATTAACATTAACAAAGAAAAGACAGGCGAACGGGGACCCAATCCTCAACTTCAACCTGTGCCAGGGGACAAAGATGAAACCAAAGGTAGACGAATACAAAATGATCTGAACAACCTGACACAAAGTAGAAGCCAAAGATTTTAAGGAAGAAGAAGCTAACTGCAAAAAGAACAACTAGAGGGAAGGAGAAAAATGGAACAAGGTACTTAAGGGAAAATGGACTGAAGAAGATCTGGAATACATGAGTTAAGGAGATTGAAAGGAACAATGAAAGGATGCAAGATAGGATCGGTTCAGAATGAAGTTCGAATGTCTCGACTTAGCAGAACATAAGAATGTAGTGTTCAGTTTATCACGGCTAATTGGTCTGCTAGCTAAGAGAAAGCTATCGAAAAGTACATTGTTCCCAAAGACTAACCGCTGAGCACAAACTTCTGAACAGGCTAACCAAAGTTGTCCATAGAGCAACTGTTACCGCTAAACCTTCTGAAGAAATCTAACCCTGATCGAATCAAAAGTAACCCTTTCCTGCATTTGCTGCCACATGAGCTGTATTGGGACAGGTAGCTTGGACGTGGCCGAACTGCTGGCAAGACCAGCATTGCATGTTGTTGAGACGACCGCTAGAGAGGGGAGGGCCAGGAGCGCGAGGGACTGGAGCGGAAAAGGTTGATGCTGGGGGAGGACAGTTGGGAGCTGGAGAGGGGGTGCGATTTGTAGGGAAATACTGGCTCTGATAAACAGGAGAAGGCACAGGGCTGGGAAGAGGGGCTGCTGGAACAGGAGAAGGCAGAATGATGGGAGGAGGGGGATGGAACCACTGAGGTGCAGGGGAGGGGGAGCGGGAGCGACCGAAGTAAGAGTTTCTGCCTTGTGGAGGGTGGCTGACTTTCTGTTCCTTGGAAGACTTAGTTGCAGTGTCCTCAGCCTTGCGCTTTTCCGCCAAAACCTTCTTAGCACGAGCAGCCAGGGAAATCTCAGCCGGATCCTTCGAGGCTTCTTCACGCAGGCGGAGCATTTCGTTTGCCACTTCGACGCCCTCAGACTCACAATCCTCCAAATATTGCATGCGCTCCAGAATGACTTGCTCACCTTCATCACACTGCTCTCGAAGAGAAGCGATCTGGTCCTCGGACAGGTGAGAGAGAGGTGATGAACCGTCCAGATGATTCTCGAAGGCATTCTTGGCTTGAGAGACTGCGTGCTGCACCTTCTCAAGGCCGATCATTTGCTTCTTGATCTCCGGGTTGGTGATGCGGTCTGACTTCTTGGGAGCACTCTTTGCATGGAGTTGAGATTGAAGCACCTTGATCTCCTCCGTCTGCTTGTCGATCTTTTGAGCCTGTTCGCGTGCATGCTGAGAGAACTGGCCAGAGAGTCTCTCGAGAAGGGCTTCACTGCGAAGAGATGCCTCCCGTGCAAACTTGACAGCTTCAGCGGGGGAAATCTCAACCTCTTCCTCTGGCAAAGGGTTCTCGTTAGGACCAGCCATTGCGCGCGAAGTGTAAGGAACGAAGCTGGAAGCGCGAAGTAAGCTGAAAGCTAAGCTGGCGACGAAGATGAATTAAGCGAACTGCATGCTGTTCAGGTATTCATCTGGAACGGCAAGACAGGAAGCTAGCTAGTACAGAGGTGCATAGAAAGGTAGGAGCAAAAAGCTAGAGTAAGCGAAGAAGAAAGGAAAGGTAGAAGAAGAAGAAAGAGGAGGTTGATGCTGAGGTGAAGCATGGAGGCGCCGCCCTCCATGCGCTGCGAAGTTGTCTTGCAGAGCGACAGAATGACAATGAAGTCGCTCGAACGCGGTTATAAAGCCGCGTTCTCGGTTAGAGGTTCTCGTTAGCAGAGAACCTCGATTTT